TGTATGAATCATATGGTGGAAAACTGACTTTGAAAAATAAATCTGTTCTTTTTTTCTTATAAAAGACTAAATAAAACAAAAATATTGGTGGTAATTGACTGTGTAACTTTACAAACAGCAGCCCAAACAAACGGATCTGCAGAAACAGAGGAGGAGGAACAGAAACCTGAAAGGAGCTTCAGCCCTCCTCCTCCCTCCTCCTCCCTCCTCCCTCCCTCTGCTGGCCAATAGCAGGCAGCTGAGCCTCTCTCAGGACAGGAACATGTGAAACACCAGCTGTGCCTGTTCCAACACCTTTACACTGATCTCCGGACGACTGCAGAGGAGGTTCATAGCCTTTCTGCTGCAACATCTCAGCTGTTCATCAGCCATGACCAGCAGCCTGTCAGCTCTGACCGTGTGCCTCATGCTGCTCCTGGCCTCAGGCTTCCCCTTGGAGAGAAGAGGAGGCGCGCACCCTGCTGCAGCCAAGGACAAGCGTGCCCAGTACGCAGCGAGGGATGATGTCAACATCATTGCTCACGGCCTGCTCCAGCTGGGCCAGAGCCTCAAGGAACATGTGGACAAAACCAAAGTCCAGATGAGGGATGTTTTCACCAGGCTCAAAGTCTTCAACCGCAGCACAGCCGAGCTGGGGAGGCAGAGCCAGAGGCTGCAGGAGCAGGGGGAGACCCTGAGGGCGCGTGCACTGGAGATGGAGCAGAGAGAGGCTCAGCTGCTGAACATCACAGMTGAGCTGAAGGAGACGGCAGAGGACATCCAGCAGGAGAGGAGGACGATGAGTGAGAGGCTGAGCCGACTGGAGCAGAGGGTGGACAGGATGCTGCAGGGCCACAGGAACAGCACTGATGCTGGAAACATCCAGGTGAGCAGGAAGCAACATCTGCAGACCGGATCTGTCAGGTGCATAATAACCATGCAGTTCAACAAAATGTCAGTTTGAGCTGATAAAAACACAGAGGGGGGTGTGGAGGGGTGCTGGTGGAGCGTGCAGTACGTGCAGGAAAATGACACCAGACAAAGGGATCTGCAGGCAGCAGCACCAGGAATGTGTGAATAATTCTCCACAGCTGTGGCACTTTGTATGGAGGACCAAATCTGACATAATTAAAAATAAAAGCAGAAATACATAAATGGACCAATAAATAAATAAATACACTTAAAAAGCACCAATTAAATTTAAAAAGGAGAACTTTACCTCATGTTTTATGATTTAGCTGACTTTCATTTTTATTTTTTCTGCT